GAAGAACTAAGAAATGCAAAACCCACGAAAATATCATTGTCATTGGAAGATATGTCCACCAAAAATTACAAAGGCGCACTCCCTGCAATATATGCTGCAAAATTACAAAGCACCCAGAAGCCCGCCTCTGGGCAGGTTTTTCTTGTTTCTGGAATGCTTGTAAAACCATCTTTTCAAAATATTCTATTGCACTCCGGTACAGACGTGAAGTTGAGTGTCTCTCGTGATGGCATTCTTCTTCCAATGAGTCAATCTCTTATCAAATCTAAGAAGAGGACTGATGTACAAAGAGGTAAGACCTTCTTTGCCTATGATTAACTCTTTCTAATGAGCATTCTCTTATTTTGATTATTTTTGTCAAGGATTGACCATTTCAAAAGCTAAATCTATTGGGTGGAAACTCATCAATGATTTTATATTTCCTACATTTTTTGTTTTATTATGCCTTGTTTGTTGCTCATAATCTTGTTATTTGGATCATGTTAACCATTTTAAATTTATCACTTTAAATAAGTTAATCTTCTTATTTTAGTGATTGATTCCTGATCAAAATTTAGTTATTAACTGGTGTTCTATATTCTAACAGTAACTGCACTAGATCGTGCTAATGCCGAGGATGCCTTGCTTCCAATTCCTAAAGTTTTTGATTCTCATGAGAAAGATAAATCATTTCAAGTCACTTCAGACAAGGATGTAAAGGACAATTTTCTTACAAGTGGTACTGATTCCATGGAAATAGATGGTAATAATAAGTTTTATCATATTTTATTGTTGTTGAGTATAGCATCATTTTTTAGGGTTTAGGGTTTAGATGGAAATATTGCAAAGAATACATATAGTAAGATCTCAATGTACCTCGTTGACTTCTTAGAATTTGTATTTGTGTATCTCCGTATAAATTTTTTCCTTATACTTTTTGTTCATTAATAGCTTTTATTTTTTTAAATTCTTGAGGACAATTTAATGAATGACAATGTGTTGCTACCATATGCTGGCTTAAAAGCAATATAATTTGTAAATATGACTCGTGTTCAACCTTGTCAGTTATTTGATTTAAAATAATCATAATTAATAACTGAATAATAAATCACCTTCTATTGAATGGTTTAATAATTTTTATGCTAACAGCATATTTTTTATCTTTCTATTACAAAATCATGGGGTTGAATTGGTTATGGTTAACAGCATAACTAACCGTAAAATACTTTCCTGCCCACTGCTCAGTTGATAACAGAAGATGGATTTGACAATTTTTTTTCCTGCTTTCCATAATCTGTTTACAATCTGTGCAGATGGTATTGTCCAAAGTGAGACTGATGTAATTAGCATGGAGGACCGGATGAGATCATTAGGATTGCTTTACAGTGAGAGTGATTGTGCATCAAATTTTGAACTTTTTTCTAAATTGTTAAAGGGTATTGATCTGGAAGCTACTCTTCCAAAGAAAAAGGTTAGTTACGAAGAGTGGTTCTCATCTGATATTAATTTTGGTTCCATCCGTTCTGTTATCTATTTCTTTTTTTTTTTGTTATCATTATAATAATTTTTGTTATCCATTGTTTATAAGAATCATGGGTGATTGTTTATGCACGTAATTTTATGCATTTATCAGGTAAGAGCAGCTGTTTTGTCTATGGAACCAAGTGAAGCATTCAAGCTACTAGAAGCATTGCTGGTTATATGGCAATCAAGGTTTTTTTCTTTCTTTTCTTGTACTTTCTACTGTAAGGTGTTTTGCATATGATGGAATGTTTTCGATTTCCACTTGTTATTTCCTAATTTTTTATTGCAACATAAAATGACCATAAGTTATCTAGGATTTATGTAGACCCTCAGTTCCATAGAGTTATATTCTTGTAATTGGAGTTTATTCCTTTCTTCTTATCGGTGGCTTATCAATATAATTCAATATTGTGAGGCTATTCTAGTTCCTGAGAATCATTGTCAAAAAATTATAAATTCCTGAGAAGCTTTTGAGGGTTGCTGCACTGACATTGGGAGGATGCTCTCGGTTTATTGTTATAATAGAAAGACAGCAACCCAAATGCTGCATGGGGGACCTTTGAGAAGGTGGTGCTGAAGCAGGTGCAACGAAAAGTTTGGGTTTGTCTTCAAGATTTGAGATCTTGGTAGCAGGAAAACATAAATGATGATGAAATTTCTAAAGATCAACAACCATTTTGTTGTTGGAAGCAAACTAGATATGTTAAATAGAACAGAATGATAATCAAGGCTTCATAAGATATGGTTGATGCCTTTTATTGTACTATTTTCAGTTTGTCATGGAGATCACATAATTTTTTTTTTACAAGTAGATGACATATATCTGATAACTGAACTTTATGATATATTTTTTAGTATTTCATTTTCCAAGAATGACAATATTCATGCACTTGTTACTCTTGACTTTGACTTCATAAATAAATCTTTACCGACAGGTCATCTAGCAGGGAGTCCATGCTTCCATGGATGTACAGCATAGTTGTTACTCATGGTCATAGTGCTGCTGAAGAATCTGCAACACATATGTTTGATTCGGTGCACAAGGTAATCATGGATTAATTAGTAATCATGTATTAAGTTCTCTTTCTCATATACGTGCTTGGTATTGGCAACTCAATTTTAAAATTTCAGTATTAATTTAGGTCCACATTTTCTGCCATTGTTCCTACTTGTGAAATTGTGATCGATGCTTTATAACTGTCCTAAATTGATAGAAGTTACATTAGTTGAGTTTCAATATAGGGTTAAATTTGTAAATATTTCTAATTTACAAGAATTGAAAAATAGTGAAATGACCAACAGATCCGTTAATTTAGCAAGGTTTATGTTGACATTGTTCTATGATGCCTTGTTGGCTTATTAACATAATCCGTGCAAACATATCTGGAAGGAATTATGCCTTTACTTCTATTTTTTTTATTTTTAAATATGCATGTCTACATGTTTGGTTACATTTTTATCAAATGGTGTCAAACCATTTGGTAACCTAATATTATGGCCTGGGTCATTACTATGGTCAACATAACCTAAACACCCGATATTGCTTACAGTGCATTGAATTTGCTTTTGCACTTCTAGTTCTTACATTTCCTGTTTAAGAACCAAAGCTTTAAAAAGGGCATTAAAAATTATAAGAGTATATTATAACTTTTAATATAAATTATAAGGATTAACATATGATTTAAAAAACTAGTATATCATCTGATTATATTTTATCGAGGAGTGCCAGGAACAGTCTTTCTGACACTTATTCTTTTATTGAGTGAAATCAACGTTGGTCCTACATAAAGTGGGGGGACTCACACAAGTTTCACCCAATAAGACAACATGTGTTGGAAAGAGTGTCAGCACTCCTCTATTTTATTGACTAGTTTTGTGATGGAACTTGGCATAGAAGTAAAATTAAGATATAGCTGAGGAATGATGGTATAAGTTTTGTATTGATTGGTAATTTTTGTTGAATAATTGTTTTTTATAAGCATGGAATTAAGGTTATTCTGACATGTTTCTTTTCGAGCTTGTCATTCTGGCTCATATATAGCTTTACTTAGATAAGGTGCACTGTTTGAGAAACTCAATTTTTGGTTTTTGCCTCCACTTTTCAGATTACCAATTCCAGAGCGGCAGCTCTTCAGTCTTTGTTACAACTATCAGGTCGACTACAGTTGGTTACATCGCAGGTATATTCACATTTCTAGAATTAATCTGGCCAACTCTGGGAATTGCTATTGGATTTTTTGACCTTATTTGAATATGCTATCAGATTGATAAGGCTTCTCAGAAAATAAGCCATCCGATGAATGATCTCCAATCAGAAGAAAGTGAAGACGAGGATGAATATTATCACGAGGATGACGACAATGAAGAAGATGATGCATCCGAAATAAGTACTGATGATGAAAACTAGTCTTCCTTTTAATGAATGGTATTATACATACATAAGTTCTCATTTGTTGTGCAATAGCTCTTACCAAAATTTGCAAGGGAGTTAAATCTAGGGTTTAAGGATATACGATTCTACCTGGAGTCACGACCAACCTTGAAACTCAATACCAGGATTTAGTATGGAATGTCTAGACATGCTTAAATTGTTGCTGATTTTTTTTGCTTTCTATTGCCAAAAAGCCTTTTCCGTGGCATTCTTCATGGTTTTTCCCCCCTCTATCTGATGCAGGGTATTTTAACTTAGATATTTATTATATTGTATCATGAATCATGGTGTTTATGGTTCCAAGCTATTATATTATATAAGACCATATATGCTTAACGATTGGAGTTTTTTTTAATACAGATTACGAGTTCTCAATTATCCCGATTGCTGCAAACGGAGATTTGGAGGAATAGAGAATAGATACTGGATTCCAACCAGCTTTTTGTTCACAATTTTGTTTACTTAGAAAATTTTGGTTATTCAGATTTGTTAAAAAAAAATCCCTGATTATGTAATTTGATTTGTCAAAACAAATTGATTGTGTAATTTGAACTTACTGATTAATAGAAATACATAATTGTAGTTTATGTGTATTGCTATATGATGACATGCTCAAAATACTCCTATTCTCAAGAATGTGGTCTCTATAAAAAAACACCTTTGCATGCATTGAAAGGTGATTAAAAGCAGCATATATGAAATATCATTAAAGTTCCCCTCTACCCTCTGCCATCCATGTTGCATGTGTGTGTTCTTGCATATCAGTTTTTAAACATAGCAAATTGTGCTGATAGTTATGTTTGCGGCGTTAAATCCTTGTTAGAAAATATTGTATTATTGATTCAGGAAATTGCATATTTACATAAAAAATTGCTTAGACGAAAGGAATCATGCAGTGCAATTTATTCTTCAGCCCGGAAGTTAGGAGTATTATTCTTGTTTTCCCTTCTCATAACATTTTTTATTTTCCACCTAAATTTCAAATGTTATTATGTTACAGTATTGGAAAGCAAATTAAACCTTTACTTTCCATGTAGTGTCTCTCCTCTATTTCTAACATCCTATACTAGACTATTGTACATGCATTTGGATTGTCATCGCTGAACATGGCAGCTATGTCTACATTGTTGTTATTGTAATCTCCACTGTAGTGTTCCATATAGTTGTATTGTGTGTGCCATGATGATGATCTCACACATTCATATTCAGTAACATAAGAAGATGGCATGTATGTATTATAACTATGTGTGACATTCAATGGATGGAATCGGGATGACTCTTGAAGAAAATCAGGGCCATTATGGTATGGTCTGCCCCTCTGTTCAACATAGTTGTTGCCAGAACTGAACTTGTTGACATAGTTCAGCCATGTAGGTTGATGATGTTGTGTCATATGAACCTGTTCTACATCTTCAGTTTCTGGATTGTTCTGCCACTGTTGTCTAGCATTGTGCCATGTAGATGTTGGCGATGACGGTGTTGCTTCAAGCATTGGTTCAGGAAAGGAGGTTCTGCGAGCTTGCGGTGCTTCCTTTGGAACTGGCTTTGCTGTTGCATCTGGGGCTGGTACATTTTCTTTCGGTTCTGGTTTTGTTGCTTTAGATGAAGATTTTTCAATATCAGAACAAATAATGGTGGCATTCTTCCTTGCTTTGTTCTTAATTGCTTTGACAATTTTTTCTGGATCTGCCCATCCAATAATTGTTAGCCTTTGTCGATCCAAGTCGATACGAAGATCATGTATACCTGCAAGACAGAAAGTTAATAAAATAGTCATATGATCACAGTGCATCTTTTAGAAGGAAAACCATGTCAAATTAATATATACCTACCATTGATGTCATTGAGCGCTTTCTTGATCTTCTGCGCGCATCCGTTACAATCAACTCGAACTTGTATATGCGTGATCCGAGATGTCTGCATTTGATGCTTGCCATATGTTTAAATTGATCAAAACCATAATTAGTCACAGACAAAAAAAATCATAAAAACTTGTCACAAAGTTATGCTTGGATTTGTAGGGCCTTACCTGTGACTCCTTAACCATGGAGGGCTGTAAAGTTAGAAAAATTAAGAAATGTTGCTTTTATTAATAAGGAAGTAGATTATGGATGAATAACATATGAATGGAATACATTAGTACATGCCTTACACGGGTAAGGAATATGTAAAAGGCAAGATGTGTGAAAAACACAAAAAAATGGCATATTTGGAAGGGCAGAGAGAGACATGTATATATACCTTACTTTAGCTTGACATCTTTCCATATATATTCATAATGTTAAGATACACCTTATTTTGACAAAGAAGTTTTTGACAGAAGTTGCATGATTTGTAACATCTCTCCTTATATAGAGTATTCAGAACATAATTTGTAGTTGTACTGTGTATGTAATTAGATATGCAAAAATATAATAATTTGAAAATAAATAAATAAATTAAACGTATCGGCTTTGAATCTCAACACTACACAAATACATTTTTTTTCCAGAGTTGTCTGATGTTACAAAGACACACTTGATAATAAAAAGGTAAATTAAAAGCACAAATATTAAAATGTTGGCTATGTAGTTTCCAACTTATTGTACAAATATATTTGCCAAACCTCTATTCTCTAACCATTTATGGCCACAAATATCTTAAAAGACTTATTAAGGAATTCAACTCTTAGCAACCATTCTAAATGTCCCTATAATTTGGTTGCACAAAATAAAATAAAAAATATAATTTTGAATAAGTTTGTAATAATTTGAATATCATCTATGTAACAAATAAAGAATCAAGCATAGACTTGTGGATTTTCCAAGAGATAAGACTCCACAACTTTGTAAATTCCAATGGTGCTTTCTCTTCCTTCCTTTACATCTTCCTCATTAACATCAAACTCTCCAATGGTTTTGTAACTGCTTGCCATTTTACATACACAACCTCCATCATTTGTAGCCTCAAACTTCACCTCATAAGAAATAGATTCAAGCTTGTCCCCTAATGGATCCCCTTCAATCATAGTGTATTTGCAAATCAAATTCTCCTTATCAAGTATATCAATCTTTTGTTTCAGATATTTGAAGGGGCTAGCTGCAAAACATAAAAGAAACACATAAGAAGCCTTCAAGAAAGTAACAACAAAAGAGAAATAAAATAGTTTAGGTCGGGATCGACCTAATGGTAAGTAAGATCATCAAGATAATCGTCTTAAATTTCTTAAAATTAGTCATTTTACAAAAACACTATTATAGACTTAAAAAAATGTCTCGTCTTAACGTTCGACTTAGACCTCAATATATGTTGGATTGGACGGCCGAACCCTAACTTATGTTTGATTGCTAAGTGCTCACCTTCATTGAAGTTGACTTGTTCAATGCTTCCAGCTCCTCCATCTCCTTCAATTACATTCACATCTTTCACAAACTTTGGCAAGAGCTTTGGAAGCAAATTTCTCGAGTCTATGATCAAAGCCGTGAACATGCGTGTCGGCGAGACAGATGAGGAGTACTCATTTGTAAAAATTGTTACTCCCATGATGAATGTTTTTTAGATAGAAGAAATTATAAGGATCAAAGTAGTGAATGATATGGATCAAAAGGGAGAGATTCTGGTGTTTTATAGATCAAGCAAACCTTCATATGAAGTTTCTTAGAAATTATCTTGGATACAATTTATTGAATTTTGAAATGAAGATGAGATTGTGACATAAATGGACATGTGTTTTGTTGTTAGCATTGTTCAAAGATTGGAATTTTTTTATTTGAAGACTTTCAATGATTGTGGCTGCTGGTTGTATTCTTGTTTTAAAACTTAGGTTAATTATTCAAACTTACACGGCCCCATATATAGTTGGCTATTGGTAGAATAAGGTTATTTTTCAACATTATTATAGACTTTGATACCTTTGATTCATATTTCATAGTTCCATAGTTCAGAGTAAGAATGGTTTCTTACCTACCTCGTGCATGTGATTTTTCATCAAAGGTTGAAGATTGAGTTTTCATTTACTTGGAATTTTTTTTGGAGTAATTTAAATGAACAGCAGGTAGAGTGGAAGTAAAGAAACATTTTATCCAACATCAGTTTTCCATAAAAAGTCAAAGTTCAACCTCAAATGGATCAAAACGGTTCATTTGTTGTTCCACAAAAACGGTTAAAGAAAATTATTTCATACAAATTTTAAAGAAATTATAAAATAAATAAAAAAAATACTATGATTCCTAAGTCATGTATGTACGAAAATCAAAAAAAGGCAATTAAATCGTATTTGTATCTGAAAATGCATCTTCTTAGTCGAGATGTAGTTACACATACGAAATTTGAGCCAAGTTGATTATTGAGGGTGACAGAATAGGTTTGACCCATCAGATATGTCTGTTTTTTTTTGTTGTAATTTTTTGCAGACTAACCAAGATTTTAGACATGTGCTCTCTACTATTTCCATCCTGTCCCAATTTTTTGTAGACTTTTGCGGATGCAAAACAGATCAAAGTTTTAGATCCGCACCTTCTACTATATTTGTCTCATTTTTTTAATAAGTTTTTGTAAGACGGACCTAAACAGATATTTTGGACGCTTGCCATCTCTAATGGGGTATATGACAATTAGACAAAATGAATGAGACATGCATTTTAATGCTTGACTGGAAGTTCAAAAATGGGGGTCAAGCTCATTGAAGTGAGGTGTTGAGAGGTAAATATAAAAGGAATTACAACATGATGATTAACAAAGCCTAATGACAAATGTAATAATTTCGGAACATAAGAGCTATTTTGTTAAGAGTGAGTTAGTGACTATAACTAACTAACTAAGTTAGTTAGTTTGAAAGTAGTTAAGTAAGTTTCTTAACACACACGTAATTATATAGTATTTTTCTGATTCTAATGCAATACAAATGTGTGTGTAATTCAGTACCAATTCAGCTTAGGTTATTTCTTTTGTTTTTGATTGCTTGTAAAACAAACAACTAATATAGTTGTGCTAACAATTGGTATCTAGAGTCTAGTTATCAACATAAAAGGGTTGGTGTTAATCCATACGGAAACACGAGTGAGATTTATGAGGAAAATACTTGGGATGCTAAAAGGGAGGAATGCCTTAAAGAGTTTGAAGCAATTGAGAAATATGAAGTGTATTAATGAAATCAATGTTTGAAGCACAAGTTGTGCTTGAAGTTGTGGAAAAGGGCTACGAAGAACTAGGTGTAGATCCTATATAGGGACAAAGAGTCATCTTCAAGAAATCTAGGAGGAAAGACTGCTAAACATTGTTTTACATTCAACATAATATAGATTCTTGTTATTTTGAGAAGATTTTGAAAGCAACTAAATCGAAGAAAGTATGAGAGGTGCTAGAGAGTTATCATAATGATAAAGAGAAGGTGAAATAAATGAAGTTACAATCATTAAAAAAGAGGTATGATTTGATGCACATGAAAGAGAACTAGAAAATCAATGATTATTTCTTAAAACTGATCGTAATGGTGAACAAAATGAAGACATACGGTGAGAGAATTTTTTATCAACAAGTGGTTGAGAAAGTGATGTTATCTTTGACTTTAATATATGAATTCATAGTGATAGAAATACAAGAATCCAAAGATCTCAATACAATGAAAATTGAGGAACTACAAAGATCACTAGAGGTACATGAACTGATGATGATTAATATAGGAATTGAAAGAAGAACTCGAAAAGTATTCTAGGCACAAGTAATTCATAAGAATGGAAATGAAAGAGAATTCAAGAAAAAGGAAAATGAAATTTCAAGAAGTTAAATTAGTCCAACAATGCAAAACAAAATGGAACAAAGTTGAATCCTCTAAGAGAGTAGAAGACCCTGGCACAAGTCTATTTAAGAAGAAAGACTTTGATAGAATAAAGGATATAATGCTCTAACTGTGAAAAATATGGACACTTTGCTGATGAATGTTAGCACAAGAAAGAAGCAAAAAGAGAATTAAATGAGTGATGAAGAGGCTCACATAGATCAAAATATGATTATGAATCATAAGAAGAGGTGTTTATAGTCACCACCTGTGAAGAAAATCCAATGCATGACTTGTGGTATCTTGATTCAGGATCCTGAATCATATGATTGCATACAAGGAATGACTTACAAATCTTGATTCAATTAAGAAAATTAGTGTGAGACTTGTAAGCAGCAGTTTCCTTGAAATAGAAGACATAAAAGATATCATGAGAAAAGTAAAGGATTGAAATAGTACATTGATTGAAAATTACTCTATGTCACTACTACGTAAAATCCATATCACCACGGTTGGAAAATGGATACCATCACAGTTGATCAATCGTGGTGAGGTAATGAGTGGTTGTAAGTATGATGGTTTTCACCATGATCGTGTGACCATAATTATAAACTAGGTAGCATGCTACCTACCACAATGATTACATTAAACAACCAGAGTGAAATTCGTAACACTTAACATTCAACAATAATTGCTTTAAACAACCTTTATGATATATACGTACGAGTTTATTATAAATTATGTGAAATGTTTATTTTTCCAATGCTCACTAAACATATAACCTTTCAATCTGATCTAGAAAATAATAATATGACAAATTATGTTATATTAGAATACCAAGTTACACTAATCAATGTTATATAATATTTCTTCAGCCTATTATCCACATTTCTCTCTTTAGCGGTTAGATTTTGTTTCAATGCTCCTAGTTCTTCAACCTCTCATTCCTTCACCTCTAGATCATTTTTCAAAATATTATTTACTTTGCAAACAAAATTAGAGGTGAAGAAAACATACACGAAGTACATGCTTAGAAGCGATTTCCGGTGAGAGGCCGCTACGAAGGTGCGATTCCCGACGAGCAAGCTTCTTGATAATATAGGGTTTCATGGGGCAGCGAATCCAACTGTGAAGGGTTAAACTCCTAATATTCGGGTTAGAGACCAGATCAGGAAGATTCTCTGGTGGTTCTAAGCAGTTCTTCAATAGCGATAGAGCGACTAATGCAATGGACAATATTGCGAAGCGAACTTAGGGGAAGAAGAAGAAAGGGCCAAGTTCAATGACAAAGAAAATGAAATCTCTGACGAAAATAATGGGAGTTGTTCTGATTGAATTTGGGTATGAGGAATCTAAATCAGATGCGGAGGAAGCGGTAAATCCATCGGATGTGGAAAAAGAAGAAGTGATAGAGGAAATTCCAAAGTTTCTGGAATCGCAAGAAGGAATAGCAAAGCGAATCAAGAAAGGCGAAAGGGTTACTCCCCCAATTCTTCACATGGTTATGCAGAA